CTGCTCCTGCCTGTCTCTCAATGTCACCTCCTTCTCGGTGGCTTTCTAGCTGTCTCTAGAGGGTGTTATGGCTGCTGGGCTGCCAGTGAACTCTTCTCATCAGGCAGCAAGTGATGAAGAGCTGCTCTGCTGCTTCCTCCAGGCCTTGGGGAGATCCTGGCCAACAGAAACAGCCATACAGAACATGCATCTCCAGCTGCTTTGTATCACCAAGCAGCGACAGTCCTGAAGGCGATGCCTGAAAGAGAAGCCTGTGAATTCTTCACTGGTGCTTGTTGCCAGAGATGGGTTCAGCAAAAGGGCTGTGATGGGCTGGTCATCTAGCATTTTGTGGGGTAGAAATAGCACAGACTGGCCATAGGAACCAGGAGGGGTAAATCTGGCAATTCCTTACCTTGCGATGATGCAGGATTTGATTTGTAATGAAATAAATAAATCGGGCAGCCTCCTCTTTTGCAGGCTGCTTGTGCACTCAGGTCCCTGCTATAGGCTTTGTGCTTGGTTTCCGATTCTAGCTGAGAGATTAGCTTGGGGTGGGGAGGAAAGGGCTCTTTCTGTCACTCTTCGTGCCACTGGCTTGATTTTATGCTGCAAACGCAGACGCTCCACCTAATCGGCTGGGCCAGATACTGCAGGTGCCTCCCCATGAGCAATCCAGTGAATGAGACTTCAGAAGTGGCTGCTGGCATACTTGGGTCTTGAATTTTACCTTTGCTTGAAAGATACACAACTTAGAAGAATTCTCTAGTTGCTGAACTGTTTAATTTCAAGGTGTCCCCTTCAAGGGTTGCTCTTCCATGGTTTGTGTTGATTTTGTCTTAAGTGGAATAAAACTGAAGTCAATTGATGACACTTAAGTGAAGGACTCTTGTAAGTGTTTGTGTTCTGCTTCAGTGTCATGCTGTGCTTTAAGCAGCGCCTTGGGAGATGACAGAGGATTTGCAGGTCTTAGCTCCAGCTTCGTCGTCTCATGGGGAGATGAGGAGGCTCTCCAGCATCACTCAGCAACGTGGCTGTTGTAATGGATCCAGCTCCAACCTCAGCAATATTATGGCAAAGTGCCTGCAAGTCGAATGCTTTGTAGGAGGGTCAAGGGGAGCAGGTCTGAGTGTGTGCTGGAACAGGAAAATAAGTGCACTCTGTTTTCGCCTTTGGGGGATGCAAGTGCCAACCTCTAAATGTGAAATGAGAAGTAGTGTGTGTATAGGAGATGAAGGACCCTTCCAGGCAGGGTTGATGGTACGGGGTAGGCATCTTGTTGCAACCACTGACTTGGTAAACTCTCACTTCAGAGACTCGCCGACTCTTCTTGTATTGCAGGTGAGTAACCAGTGCCTTGAAAGTCCTTTTGAGCTTAGTGAGACGAATCTTGTACTAAGGCGAGACAAAATGTACAGGAAACACAAACTTTTTTAAAAAAACTATTGTGTTGGCCACACTTGTGTGCCCTTTGTAGGGATTGATCTTTGACGCGGATGGTCTTTCTCTGCCGCAGCGCAGAGGATGGCAGTGGCGCGACTGCAATATAGTAGCAAGCGTCTCTTCTTCCTTTTGGCCCCCGAAATAGTCGCCTGTTGTCCCTGTGGGGCTGGGGGCCGCGTGTGTCTGGCAGGATGCTCTCGGCACGGTGGCAGGCAGATCTGCTGAGCTCATGGGATTTCAGCTCAGTTGAACACAAGAAAAGGCACTTTCCCCCCCCCACCCCCCTTTAAATAAAACAGAAACCAAAATGTGATGCCTTGCAAACCACAGACACCCACACAGCTGGCTTATGTGTCGCTTTGCAGGTAAACAAATGCTGGGGCCTGAAGCTGTGCTATAGTTAGACTGACCAGTTTGTGCAATGAGAAGTCAATGTGACATTTTTTTGTTACGGGGAAGAAACTTTATCATCGGAAAACAGGCAGCTGGGGTGATGGAGCCAAAGTCTTTCTGAGGCTCTGGGGTCCACGGAGGGTGCTAGGGGACTTTTACCTAAGTCTGGGAGACGTTAAGCTGTGTCCCCTTCAGGGTGACCTCTCTGTTCTTTAAAGGTTCATTTGCTGGTTGGTCTGAGGAGACACTGGTGTCTGGTACTTCCAGAAGATGTCTCCTGGTGTTTGTGGATTTCCCCTCTCCATTTCATTCTCCTCTGTAGGCCACTTGAATCCCCCTTTTGTTCTGTTGTGAGGGCAGGGGAGCTGCTGAAGGACGAGGTGCATGCAGGAAAGCTGAAACACGGGCAAGCAGAGCAAGCCACGCTTCTCTCCTTGTAAATCGATGTCCTGTTGCTCTTTCCAAGGTGCAGTGCTATTACCACCAAGAAAGCTTCCTTTTTTGGGGGAGGGGGTAAATGGGGAAACGCTGAAATAAGGTTTCTTTGCTTTAATAAACCTACAGAATTAGGTCCCTGCTTCTACTTCAGGTGTGTTTTGGAAAATATTTGTTCATCTTTCAACAAACAATGGCAGAAGTGGCCTGGAAAAGGAGCAGGGTGGGAGTGCCGTGTGTGGTATGCCGAGAGGCATTTCCTGCCCTTATCTCCCCTCCTTCGAGGTATTGTAACCGGGGCTTCAGATCTGCAGCCTTCATTACTGGAGCAGAGATCGCCAAGAAAGATACCTTCCCAGGAACGCCTGCTGTGCAAGCCGAGTTCACGAGAGGTGGTGAAGAGCTTTCCAGCCAAGTGCCTGTGCTTGGACAATGCATCTGCCCCAAAATGAAAGCTTTTTGCAAAGTGGGCTGCATTGAAGCCACTTTTGCCGGTGGGGTTTCTGGGGGCCGTGGTGAGTCCCAGCTTGTGGGGGCTGCGGGAAGGGGTCAGGGAGAGCTGTGCGGGGCTCTCGTGCCATGGAGGAGCCGTGGCATGCTTCCCTCGCTTTCCAGTGGCACCCTGAAGTCATGAGTTGATATGTTCCATCTCTCAGGCGAGTGTTTGAATTTCTAGGTAGTATCTCTCATGAAAAAATTTGCAAGGATTTGGATTTCTCCCTATGTGGAACTAAAGCATTTTTTTGAAATCTTAAGTTCTTACGGGATGGAACAGGGTCTATCCTGAAACCCTCAAAACCTTTTGTTTGGGTCTATCCTGAAACCCCTAAAATAAGGTTTGCAGGTGCTGAAAAACCTGCCCTTGACCTTCTGTTGGCTGTGTACTGGATAAAGCCACTGCCTGGGACCTGCCCGTGTGCTGGGGCTGAGTTTGTTTTCAGTTCTCAAACCAATTATCTCATGGAGGAAATGGCATGCCTTGCTGTCAGCCTGCCAAGATATTTATAGGTAAGGTCAAACACCTGTGGAAGGTCTGTAGCAATGTTTGGAAGGAGCGGATGTCTCAACCTTGCAAAATTCACTGGGTTGTGGTGGATGTGCTACACGGCACGGACATTGCCCTGCAGCTCCTCAGAGTAACACCTCCCCGGTTGGGCTGCTTCGCCCTCTGAAGGGGGATGAACAGTGGCTTTTGCTGGCTTGGGTGGATGCGGTAAGGTTTGGCATCCTCACCACGTCTCTCACCTGGGTCTAGCCACCTCTCTGCTGCTGCTGTTTTTCCCACAGATGCTTTGCATCCATTACATACGAGACTGTTGCTTCCTCTCTTTTGGAGCAGGAGAGCTGAGCAAGGAATGGCTTCAGCTGTCCTCTTGGGGATTTCTCAGGTGCTTGTGAATACTTAAGCACTCTACAGGCTCCCTTCCCCATCAACTCTTCTTTTTTTTTTCTTTTTTTTTTTTTTTTACCCTCCTCCAAGCTAGCTGAACCATAAGAGCTCTCGTCTCATACATGTTTATTTGCAGCTTCCCTTGATTTGGCACGCTTGCCTTGCCATTCGATGTGCTTTGCAAGGGTCTATTTGGAAAGGACTTGTTCAGTTTGCTCGTGACATTGGCTTTATTTCAAATGCACCTTCCCTGTTGGACCACTCCTTAAATCTGGGACATGTTTCCTCCTTCTGTGCAGCAGATGATTTGGCGGCTGCCCATGAGTCCCCCGGTTGATCACTCTGGGTAGTGATGCTCAGACGCCTCTGGTGTCGTTGGTCATGCCGAGAGTCTGGGGCTGTGATTTCACAGCTCTCGTTGCTGTGCTTGTGGAGCCTGTACAGCAAAACCAGAGTGAGCTAGTGTGTGGTGAAGAAAGAATCTGAAAGAGAGAAATGAACACAAAATTCCATGTTTTTAAGTAGCTGAGGTGGTTTAAATGTTACTAATACGTCCCTGGGAGCCACATCTTATCTGTCTGCCCTAGGTTAGGGTGGGGTGAGGAAGGGGCGATGGATGAAGTAGAATAATACGTCCCTGGGAGCCACATCTTATCTGGTGGGGTGAGGAAGGGGCGATGGATGAAGTAGAAGAGTGCAGATAATGCTCCTGGTGGGTAGAGCTCCTCTGGGCAAACCTGCCTGGCCCTGGGGTGCTGTTCAGGTAGCCCCATGCATCTCCAGCCTCTGGCTTTTTCTGGGTTATTTGTGCTGGGATGGCCTCGTATGGTGTCTTGTGGCTGCCCTGGGATCTGCCACTGCAGTCTTGGTCCCTTCTGCCCTGTGCTTTGCTCAGACCAAAATGCTTCAGGGATGTGGCTGCTGGTATGCAACAGTGCCTGGGGGATGCCTGTACGAGGGTGATGGTTACGCTGGAAGGGGCCAGCTGCGGGGAAGGGTGCATCTCAGTACTTGGGTCTCTGAGTTGTCTGAGGGATTATATCAAATACTGTGGAAGATCTTTGTTCCTTAAGACTTTCTCCTGCTCATAAGAGAGGGCTACCTTGAACTATAGATGCGAATGAATTGCACACTAAAACTACTGCTTAATCGAGAGGGATTTTGCTTGGGTGTTTGGGGTGGGTGGGAGGTGGAATCATTAAAGGCCAGTGAGAACAACGAAGCAATTGAAGCGCAATTAAGTGAGCTGCCTTTTGAGATGGTAGGTGTTGCCTGTTGCATTTTCCAGCGAGCTGGTCTTAGTTGCTTGTCTGCATGGGATGATGAGAGTTGATCCCTCACACTGTCCTCCTCTTTTCAGGTTTCCACCATATTCTCATCGGACACTGCAATGGGCCCTTCCCAGCTCAGCCTCAAGATGCTGGTATAGCAGCAGGCGGCTGCGATCCAGAGGAGCTGCAGTGGGACATCATTTCCCACTGGGACATCCCTCACCCCCTCTCTCTCGGCAGAAGCAATGGATGCCCACGTGGACCTCCTGACAGAGCTGCAGCTGCTGGATAAGGTGCCCACACTGGAGAGGCTGCGGGCAGCCCAGAAGCGGAGGGCTCAGCAGCTGAAGAAATGGGCACAGTATGAGAAGGAGATGCAGCACAAGAAGCGCAAGCATGAAAAGAAGAGAAATGCTGTTAACCGAAAGAAAGTGTCTTTTGAAGCCAGCGTTGCTCTGCTGGAGGCTTCTCTGAGGAACGACTTGGAGGAAGGTATGGCATTTGTATCTGACAATTTCTTTGGCTACATGCGAAGTCCATGTAGTGCTGTGGTATGCAGAGGCATCTGTGTTGACTGGACTATCCTTGATGTGGTGTTGGTCTCTAGAGTGTTGCCATCTCTGATATAGCTATGGAGTCCTCAAAGCACTGGGTGATGCCAGTGTTACCTAGGTTGACATCAGGAGTGGGCGCACGAATGCCAGGATGTGGCAGGAGTTATGACTGAGATTTGGGGAAAGGGGGGCAGCTTTGCTTTTCACACTTTGTACTTACAGAAGGTGTGAAACACTTCTCTGCCTTCTGGGTGTGCCTCTTTTAGTGGGTTTATAGAAGTCTGTCACAGGGATTTACATGTCAGTGTAAATCTCTTCAACTTCCCTGCTTGGGGGGATGGATTGAGAGCTACATGGATGTATGAATTTTTTCCCTATTAAAAATACTGAAAAGCATGGCTTTGCTTAATGTTTCCTATAGAAGAGAATTGCAAATTGTTCGGAAATTGGTTTAATTGCACCATTTCAAAGTGAATCAAAGTGCTTTGCTTTTGCTTCAAAATCTGGAGGGAGGGAAAAAAAATGTCTACAAGTCAATCGCCATTAGCCTCAGCACAGCACAGGGGCAAACCTGGAAGCTCTGGGGAGCCAGGGCTTACTTCTCTGCAGAGAAGGAAAAACATTTGTCAGAGGAGACCTGGAGCAGGCTTCGGAGTTGCTGCTCTGCCAGGTAGTGAGATGGGTGTGATCCTCCCGATCCCCTGGCACAGCAGAGCCGAGGGAGATGCTTAGGAAACCTGGCCAGCTGAGCTGCATCTCTGCGAGTGATTGTTGCTCTACTTCCCAGCATCTTCTGCAAGAAGCAGTATATATTTGCCTGGGTGTGGGTGGCAGGCAAGGACCTCATCTTGTCTTGTGAGGAGTCTCTCCAAAGTCATGTCCCTGTTTCTGAGAATCACAGAACCACAGAATCGCAAGGGTTAGAAGGGACCTCGGGAGATCATCCAGTCCAACCCCCCCTGCTAAAGCAGGGTCACCGAGAGCATGTTACACAGGGCTTCATCCAGGCGGGCATTGAATATCTCCAGAGAAGGAGACTCCACAACTCCCCTGGGCAGCCTGTTCCAGTGCTCCGTCACCCTCAGAGTAAAGAAGTTTTTCCTCGTGTTCAACTGGAACCTCTTATGTCTCAGTTTGTACGCATTTTCCCTTGTCCTGTCGCTGGACACCACTGCAAAGAGTCTGGCTCTGTCCTCGTGACTTCTACCCTTGAGATATTTGTATGTATTGATGAGATCCCCTCTCAGTCTTCTCTTCTTCAGGCGGAACAAGCCCAACTCTCTCAGCCTTTCCTCGTAGGAGAAGGCCGTTTGTGCACCGTAACTTGTCCTCATATGCGTGTTCTGCACCTGTCTGGAAGTGGAGCACTTTGGTGGTGGGCAGTGATGCTCGCCTGCGTGTGTGTTACAAGTGTTTGCCAAGCCCTGCTCTGTGTCTCTGGTTTTGCATGCGTTCGTAGCCTTTCTCTGGGAGAGCGGACCTGTGATAATGCCCTGAAAACTGCAGGCTTTTGTTTGTTTCTTCCTTGCTTTAAAGGTGTAACAGTTGCTTCCAGGTCTTTGCTGCAGTGAACCTGTGTTTTTCACTCTCAGCTGTTGTAGTCTTGTAGGAGAGCCCCAACAGCGAAGCCCACGAGAGCCATACTGTGAAATTGTGTCTTACTGGCATTGCCCGAGATGACAGATTTATGACTTGTATCGCCTCTGCCTGTTCTGGCAGATACTTGGCAGGGTATGGCTTTGGGTTTTGTACCCAGCTGCCCACCTGTAAGTGACAGGTCACAGCGTTGGGATGGATAACGAGCGTTTCGTCATCCTTCTCTCAGTGTGGTGACGGTGCCTCTGCTCAGTTGGCTGGAGGGTGCGATGGGGCCAACAGGCATGCGAGGGGCCCAGCCTTGTAGTTTGGCTTTCTGCACTTTCTGTCTTTGGACCTGGGCAGCTTGGAAGGAGGAAAGCTCCTTCACTCTCTGCCTTACAAATACTTTCTCATTTTGTGGCAGAGGTGTTTGCAGACACGGCACTGGTGGAGGGCAGCGGTGCGCCCTGAGGGCAATGAGCGGGCAGGGCTGGCGAGTGTTCAGGCCGCGGCATTAACGTACTGGCGTTGGAGGTCCTGTGGATGACAGTCTTGCACCATGTGTGGACATGGGTATTTGCTGTTGGGGGCTCAGGAGTTGAGCTTTCATCTCAAGGAGTCACATGGAGAGGACAAGGGGGAATGGACACAAGTTGCTCTTGGGGAGATTCTGACTGGAGACGAGAGGGAAATTTTTCACATTGAGAGCAGTCGTCCATTGCAACGATCTCCCCAGGGAAGTGGTTGACTCTGCCACATTGGACACTCTTAAGGCTCGGCTGGACACAGTGCTGGGCCATCTTGTCTAGACTGTGCTCTTACCTAGAAAGGTCGGACCAGATGATCCTTGAGGTCCCTTCCAACCTGGGATTCTATGATTCTATGATCTCACATCTTCACTCTTTTCCTCCTGTAAGGGAAAATCCATTGCTTCAGGTCTCTTTTGGCACTATAATCGAGTTGACCTCTTTCTGTAGGCGAGCCCAGGTAGTGATGGGCTTTAACCATCGGTCGCTCTTTCTGATGCGGTGCTGGTTACACCAGACGTGATAAAGGCACTTCCCTGCTTGGTGGAAAATCAACCTCTCCACTTGCCGGAGAGGGCAGGGGCAGCATCCCTGGGGCCGCAGGTGCTTCCCCTGCGTAGCTGGATTTTTCACATGCCTCAAATTTTTAGATTTGATTTGTTTGGTGGTAAATTAAATTAAGTCCTAAAAATAGTGTCTGAGGCAGGGTTCTGTCCCTGCTCTGCACCCTCTGTGCTGTGGGACCAGTATGAAGGGAGGAGGGGACAGAGTCAAACCCAGATGCCAAACTGGTAAAATTCCTTATTAAGTGTCCTAGGCCAAAGCAAGGGAATTCGTGGGCTTTGGAGGTGCCAGGTGATTATTTTGGTGTATGAATCATCTTTTGTTTCCATGTGGGAGGTGGAGGGGGAGGTGGAGGGGGAGGTGAAATGTAAGTGATTAAGATGTTGAGAAGTTAGCGTGAGGAAGGCTGGAGAGGTGGGGGTGCAGCTGGCACGCGTCACCTCTGAGCGGCCTCCGAGCAGGTGTGCTGTTTCCATTCTCTGTTACTTTTCTGTACTTTTTATATTTGTTTTTTAACATTCTCATACCTGAAGCTGGAAAGAGGATGGCAGTGGGTGCTGTGCAATGAAATCTAGGAAAAGAAAGCGGAGCTGGAGAGCAAATTGGCTCTTTGTTTGGAAGGTGCCTTGTGCTGTGGTGTAACCTCGTAATGGAGGTAGACACAGAATCCCAGAATGGCAGGGGTTGGAATGGACCTCAGGAGATCATCCAGTCCAACCCCCCTGCTCAAGCAGGCTCACCCAGAGCAGGGGGCACAGGACATCGTCCAGGCGGGCTTTGAATATCTCCAGAGAAGGAGACTCCACAACCCACCTGGGCAGCCTGTTCCAGTGCTCTGTCACCCTCAAAGTAAAGAAGTTCTTTCTCATATTCAACTGAAACCTCTTC